AATCAAATGGCATAAAGAAATGCTTTATCTGCAAGAAAGTAGGTTGCTGGTCTACCAACCATTCAGACGAGGAAAGAAGGCAGTCATACAACTCATTTAGGCAGCATATCCAATAAACTCAAAATTGCCATTACTCAAAGGAGGAGCATTTATCTTTTCTGACACATTGGGAAGGAGTACCTGAATTCGAAAGCGATCTAGAAGAAGCCGAGTAGCTACTAATGGAGATGCAGCTTGAATATGACAGTAATGTCGAATTTGATACAAAAACTGGTGAAGCTTTTATCTCAGAATTAAGCCAAAATGAAGATGCCCAAGAAACTGTCGGATATCTGGTCAATCAAGCCGCTATGCATGCCATTACAAAATGCGATGTCTTTAATAACAAATGTTTTGAGTCAATTTTTGATGACAATAACTTGTGTGACAAAGCAGAAAACCGCATATATACCTTCTCAGATTGATACTCGGAGAAGATATTTCAAGGCATTATGCCTGATACAGGCGCTGCAGGAACATCAACAGCGGGAGAACCACAATTTTGTGCACTACAGCTACTAGACCTATCAATCACTCTTGATAAGTCAAGTGCAGACCATCATTGTATATGCTTTGGTAAAGGCGAGACTGTATCACTTGGAACTGCACGAGTTGATACCCCTATAGGAATAATTGAGTTCCAAATACTCCCCACTAACACTCCTTTTTTATTATGTATCAAGAACATGGATAACCTAAATGTCAAATTGAATAATATACAGAAGGTTTTAGTCAAGGGTAATGGAGAAACAGTTCCTATAGTGCGAAAGTGGGGCCATCCCTGGATGCTCTTACTTCATCCACCTTGGAAAACATTAGCATGGTGCCACCTCACCGAGTCTCAATTACGCCGCTTACATCAACACTTTGGCCACCCTTCAGCCCGAAGATTAATTGAAATCCTTAGAAAAGCCGGGCACGGAGCTTTTCGACCTCAACTTGTTAAGCATTTGACACAAATTTGTCATCATTGTCAAATGAATGCTAAAGCCCCTGTTTGTTTCAAGTTTACACTAAAAGATGAAATTGAATTCAATTATAAAATTGTAATTGATATCATGTACATTGGTGGTAAACCAGTATTGCATGTTGTTGACACAGCAACAGGTATTCAAGCAGCGCAGTTCTTGAAGGACATTTCCACAAAATTGGTCTGGAAATCTTTATGCATGTGTTGGATTAATGTGTATCTTGGACCTCCTGACTTCATTGTCCACGATTCTGGAACCCAATTTACATCTTCTGAATTCAAGCAAAATGCAAAAATCATGTCCATAGAAGTTAAAGAAATTCTAGTTGAAGCTCACGATAGTGTAGGGAAAGTTGAGCAATACCATGCGCCTTTGAAAAGATGTTATGAAATCATCCAGAATGAAGTTAATGCCCCCCCGGAAGAGATACTTCTAATGGCTATCAAGGCGGTCAACAATACAGCTGGACCGAACGGGCTTGTACCTACGCTCCTGGTTTTCGGAGCGTATCCACAGATGACAGAAGATTCTCCTCCGTCCCCTTCAGTCACACAAAGAGCCGAGGCTATTTGGAAAGCTATGATGGAAGTTCGGCGCCTCCTTGCAAAGAGACAAATTAGTGATGCATTAAGAATGAGGAATGGACCCAATACTGAAGAAACCTTGCAACTCCCTCTTCAATCAGAAGTCAGGGTATACCGAGAAAAAGAAAAATGGACAGGACCTTTTACTCTTCTCGCAACAGATGGCCAAACTTGCACAGTTGAGATCAATGGAAAACCGGTCAAATTTCGTTCTACTTATGTAAAGAAATACCTCAGAAACGACACGCAAGATATGCCCGTAGTTCAAGAGAAGGAATCTCTAATTGAAAGTGGTCCTATCCCAAAGATTGCTTCTGACTACCCCCATCAAAATGATAAAAGTACTGTAATTGAAACAGTTTGTACAAAAGATAAAGATAATCAACCCCCTGAACGAGTCCATACAAGACCTAAACGCTCCTGTAATAAAGTTTATCTCATTGACAACAATAATTCTGACAACTTTGATGAAAAATTCGTCCAAGATAGTGAAAGCAGTAACAATAACAGTTTGGATGCGCAATTTTTCAATGACAATCATGTTCACTCTCTCCATTCAATGACCTTTGTATCAAACAAGGAGCAAGCTGACCGCGAGCTGTCATTAAACCTTCGACGTGAAGGTAGGATAACTGCCCCAGGAAAACCATTTGAAGAATCGGACATTATAGAACTTGAAAGCCTTCGTAATCAAGAAGTTATGAAGTTTATTATATATGACCCTAACAAACACATGGGTCGCATTTCTAAATCAAGAATGGTTCGAGAAATCAAGGGTAAAGCAACTGGTTCACCATATGAGAAGTCAAGACTGGTAATACAAGGGTATAACGACGAAGGTAAGGCTACAATTCTCTGCCAGGCTCCAACGATTCAACGTTCAAGCCAACGAATCATGTTTGCAATTGCTCCATCACTGTGCGCTTTGGGCATTCATTTTTGGTTAAGGGATATTACACAAGCATATGTGCAAGCTAAAACTCACCTTAATTGCACAATATTAGCACATATCCCAAAAGAACTTGAAAGTAAATTCCCTCCGCAAACAATCATGCATCTTGTTAAACCACTCTATGGGATACCAGAAGCCAGGCTACACTGGTGGGTGACATATTTTAAGCACCATACAAACAAGTTGCTTATGGAAACATCGACCTATGATCCATGTCTCCTAATCACTAATGGCAAGGAGTATTTTGTTGTTATTGGAATGCAGACAGATGATACGTTGATTTTGGCCGATATGGAGTTCTCTGAGCGTGAAGAAACTGAACGAGCCAAGGCAAATTTCATTGCCAAACCAAAATTAAGATTAACTCCTGACAAGGATCTTATCTTCAATGGCTGTATCTCAAGCCAAAATGGTAAAAATTTGCTAGTTTGTCAGAAAGAACAAGCCAAGAAAATTGCTCGAATAGCCCCTGATTTGATAGACAATTATAGGAGTTATGTTGAGCAAAGAGCTCGTGGCGCTTATATAGCCTCTATATGTCAACCTGAAGCAACTTTTGATATGTCAAGTGCAGCCCAACATCAAAGTCCTGGAAAGGAAGAAATTGAGGCGTTAAATAAACGTCTAGACTGGCAAAAGAAAAATGGTTTGACCGAGGATTAGCTCGCCTGGGAATGTATTATCGGGAATAAAGCCTGCTGAAATTATGAAATTAGATGTCCAAGAATTGTTTGAAGAGAGAAATTGAAAGTTAATAAGAACGTTGCGTGTGATGCTTGGTCCTTTTCCGCCTATGCCCAAAATAGTTGAAACAACAGAATTGTAAGGAAAAAGTTTGTTTGCGAGGGATGCTGAAATATAACAAGTTGCACAACCGTAATCAAAGAAAGTGAGAAATTGAATTGAGTGGAGTGAACTTAAACGAGATAAAAATAAATTATGCAGCCAACCAAATCCTTCTCTGATGAGTTCTTTGGGAGTGATTTGGGTTAAATTATCAACGCCTACGGCCGTATAATAGGCGTCATGACACCGTTATTCTGGTGTGTCTCCCAGGTCCATTTCCATCTGCATTTCTTTGATTAAAGTGTCAAGATCATTGTCAAAATTTGACTTGTCGAAAGCTGATTGTGGATCCTGTCTGTTTTCTATGTCATCTGTCGTATTGATGAGGAAGGTCTTATTCGGCTTCCTACCCAAGTTTTTATGCCGTTTAAAATCTCTCAGCCGGTTAATTTTCTGTCTAAGGTCGTCATATCTGCTTGAGAATCTACCGCTGTTTGGTTTGGTGTGACTGTCAGTTTGCTGTGACCGTTTTGAACAGTCTTTTGCCCAGTGACCCTTCTTTCCACAGACGAAACAGTTACCCTCGGCCACGGACAATGAATGTGTAACTGGTGTTTCCGTTGCCTTAAAAGATGGTATATCAAGTGATGTGGAGTCTTGGGTACCTAACTCTTCAACTTGTTTTGATCCAGTGTACATTTTTTCCTCAATAGGCCATTTCATAACCTGTGATGAAATTTGAATGACCATTTCTACTATTTCTTGATTGGAAGAGTTAATTGTATGGGGATATGCTAATGTCAATATTTGCGGAAGGTGTGTTATGACAAGCTCTTTCAAAAGGTCTCTTGTAGTGTCTGATGTCATGTCTATTGTAAGGTTATGGATCGTAGAGGAATGCTGGAATGGTATAGGGAGGTGAAGGATATATGCCGAACAACGAAGCAGTTGAATAGAGCTTAAGGGTGAAGCTTGGTAGGGTGACACAAAGAGGGTATGAATAGACCTTCAGAGATATTCAGTAAATGTAATGAACTAAAATTGGAGTAACTACTGTAAGAGGTCTTACCTTCAGAGATATTCAGTAAATGTAATGAACTGAGGATTTCTGAAGGAGGAGAACACTACATATATATACAGGAATTAGTCCTACTGAGACGAATTTAGAAATAAGCCAGGATATGCGCCCATGTCCCAGTATGGCGACATTATCATGGTGATGGTATGTCTTGACCACCAGTAGACCCCCAAGCTAGCTGAGTGTAAGACAGAATCATGCATATACCATAATTTCCAACATATCTTGTGTTAAGCGCCAAGACTAATTAATGTTACAGAAAATAGATGTGGCGCAGTATTAAATGATACGAATAACGGAAACGAAAACGAGATAGTACATGACTAGTGTAACAGATGCAGGACTGTTAGAATTACAACAATGTCTATTATAGAGAGATGGTAGAATGCGTCTCGGAGGCGCCATGAGAACAACTGAAGAGATTCCTCTTTCTTTGGCGAGATTAAGGAAAATGTTGTAAGCGGACTATGGAGCGTATTTAAGCGCTGCATTGTGGTGAATATTGTCTCCAGGAGAAGAATCCAAGAGGGTCTCTTGCCAATCGACCAATTTCGAATTCCCAGAAAGTCTCCGCTCATGTTAATTGTCACTCAATGTGCCCACAAGTGGTAAGGTATTAACGCCAAATGTAGGGCGTTCTGGATGCTTGACAGCTTCGTAAAAACTTCGCTATTTGCGACGACGAGCCGCCATTCTGGTTTGAGGACAACTTTATTTTTTATACTTGTGTATGATTTGTTGTTGAGGTCATTGGGGAAGACTGCTTCTGGCCAAGCTCTTTTTACAAACCTCTCACCTAGAGTGAGGTTCTCACCAATGTCGTTCGTTGCAGAGGTGTCTAGTCTACCTTGTTTGTTTCTTTTAATGGCATCGCTGTTGGTGTAATCGGGGTTCTTAGGATGGGAGGATTCTGGGATCTCTTTTTCTTTTCCCTTGGCTGATTTGTGATCGATTTCCTCGGGCGAGTTAATGGGGTCTACACTCCCACCTGATCTGTTTAACCCTTCTTTTATTTCTCGTCTGATATCAAGTAGAAGTTGTGAAATATCTTGGGAATCCTTTTCAGCTTTATCGAAACATTGGTTACTATTCTCAATGGAAGCCTCGAGTTTATTCTCCAAAAGTTGGAAGCGGTTGTTGAGGGCTGCAAGGCTGTCATTGAGCTTCTTGTTGACACCCAAGATGGTGGTGGGTTCGGTAGGTGATGACTGACAGTCAGACATGTCAGATGATGGGTTATGTGATTATATGAGTTTTTTTTTTTACTCTTCAAAAATATATATTTTTGAGGTTCTTAGCTAGCAAAATGATGTAGGGGTCACAGATGATCGAAAATATCAATGAAACGTTATTTGAATGTGACTGGTGGTTTACGACTGTCCGGTGCTTCACTGTTGGCAATGCTATATGCGCGATAGAAAGCTATGTAGACTTGTCGTTTTTCCTCCCCCTTCTAAACTGCTACCTCGTGCTCTATTTGTACTAACGACCCGTGCCTATTTGGTACCCTTCATATGCTGGCGCTCGATCCTCAGTTCGTGTTTGCGCCACCTTTGCCCTGGCTACCACTATCTTTATTCCCATGTACCTCTCGCTCTACCGTGTCCCGCTCATGCTTACTTCTGGTGTCGATAGTTTGTGTCCGGACTTTATCTATTGGCGTGGCGCTAGGCGCACGGACGATCCATGGTTTTGGTGCCTGGAACCTCACTAGTACAACATGTTAGAGAATGGAATGGAATGTGACTATGGAACATTCTGGTTATATGATTATGGACTGTATCATGGGTGTACAGCATGTATATATATCAGTCCTGTCTACCTCGGTAGCACCATTGATTGTTTTAATTAAGTTATTCATATCTCTTTTATAAAGATATGTGGGACACAGTATTACGTTGTAAATGTTGACTAAAGAACCCTTGTGACAGAAACCAAGTTGGTTGTGAATAAATCAATTTATTAAACTATATGAGGAGAAAAGAGAACTCTAGCTACGACTAACAGGTATTTATAAGAATTGGTCCCCTTTGTCAATCTCCAGACTGATGACTTATCCTTAGGCACAATACTTGCTACCCAGCCACGCATTGCCAGGTGTTACTTAGTTGTAGTAACGCTTCGACCTCCTGACTAGCAGTGCCGCTTAGTTGTAAATATTCCCAACAATCCGCTTAGGTATTCACCTAAGCTCTAATAGCGGTCAAACCGTAACAACCCTATTGCCACAGATGAAATCTATGTACTGCTATGAAGGTCATGTGACCTTTCCAGCTTAGTTTACATGAGTAGGTGAAATGTTACCCCTAGACACACCCCCTTACCTACAAAACTTTACAGGATTTCATCAAGCATTGTTGTGCCTAGACCCACATAGCTACAGTGCACAGCTCCAGTTATGATGGTCACGCGACTGCATGTATTTGCTCTGTTTGCTCCTGCTTTGTTGAGTTAGTATAATTAGTAAGCAATAGTCTAGGGACTATAAGTAGAGAGCTTTCCTCCACAGTAGATAGAGTAAGCAATTCAGTCTTTCCTCATTCTACAGAGATCATTCTCCACTCCTCTTCTTGACCTATCCGGCCCAGCAGCACATCTGTGATCACTAGCAGCGAACTCCCACAAATTGTATGTACACCCGAATCATAGACCTATCATAACAAGCGTCCAAGGTAGTCATATTTAGTTGTCCGACAAACTTTTTAAAAAGAACAGACAACAATGCCTTTGTGAACCTGTCTGCAGCATTTTCTAATCCTGATTTCCATTCCAATTCAATTACTATGTTGCTTATATATTCCCACAGTAAGAACACAGGTATATCATAATGTTTACTTTTTTGAGTTACGCTCTGTCCTTTTATTTGCCTGTAACCTGGCTGATTGTCATAGTAGAGGCGGACTATCTTTGCGTTGTCTGAGTTGTAGTTGATACTTCGAAAAAGATTTCGAAGGAACATAGCCTCCTTAGCTGCTTCAGCCATAGCATAGACTTCTGCCATAGTTGAAGAACAAGTAACTCTCTTCATTTGATACAAACGCCAAGGGAAACAGGCAAATTTCGGGAAGAAAGCCCATCCACCGTGAGAGCGTCGCGTTTCAGGATCTTGGGCATAATTGGAGTCAGTAAAACCGTGAAGCTGTAAGTTAGAGCCGGCACCAAAACTAAGATCCAGACGGGTAGTTTTGCAAAGATAGCGGTAAAGATGGCGAACTGCTGCTATATGAATTGGAGAAGGATTAGAAAGAAAACGACAGAGCTGTGTCATGGTATAGGTGATATCTGGTCTTGTTTGAGTAGCAGCATACATTGCAGAACCAACCATCGACGCATAGAGCTCAATTTCCGCTGTAGAGGCAGTCCCTTCAAAAGGAATCAGATGCTGTCCTGGAAGCATTGGTGTACTGGTTGGAGTACAATTTTTGAGGCTTTAATTTTCAAGAATCTTCTCGAGATAGGCATCTTGATGGAGATAGAGGACTCGATTTGCTCGTTTGCCTACAATACAGACGCCGAAATAAAACTCCGCAGGTCCCATATACACCATTTTGAAAGCATCATGTAGGTGTATTTGCAATTTCGAAACACCAGTCTCGGGACCAATGAGTAGAAAGTCATCTATATGAGTAACAAGGTAAGTTTCATTGGAGTCACTTTGATAAACGGAAGAATCAAGAAGTAAAGGCTTATAACCAATGTGGGCAACTTCAGAACGAAGTTTTGATTGCCAGAGATGTGGAGACTGCTTGAGACCATAGAGTGACTTCTTAAGTTTCCACATCCAGCGGTTGAGTGGAGATCCATCTGGAGTAGGCAACCCGTCTGGAAATGCCATGTATATATCAGTGTTGATTTCAGGGTTGAGAAAGTCGGTAACTACATCCATTTGTTCAACTTGCCAGTCTTGGAAGCGGCGAGTGCGAGAAGAGCTTTCCAGACGCTGGAGAGTGCTGTACTGGCAAAAGTGTCTTTGTAGTCTAGGCCTTCCCTTTGATGAAAGCCCTTTGCAACATAGCGTGATTTAAAACGGGTTAGCTGGCCATCTTTCCCTGTCTTTCAGCTATAAACCCATCTTCCTGGAATGATATCACGTCCTGAAGGAAGCTCAGGGCGAGGTAAGAGCTGCGAAGTATTGTTCATTTCAAGAGCTGTCAATTCTTCCCTCATAGATGCTTCCCAAAGAGCAGCACTGGGACTCAGTAAAGCTTCACGAAAGGTCTTTGGATCGCTGTCAGGAATGAGAGCTGATAAATACAACTGATACTCTAAAAGCAGAATTGGATTCTCATCCTGCGGAGTGTGCAATGAATTTGAGCCTTTTGCTTTACTGCGAGTGACACGGATATCTGATTCGGGCTTAGAGAGATAAAATGAATTAGGTCCAGCTGTCAACTTGGGCTTATTCTTGGCACCTGGAAGTCGACCACAGCCGCGCTTAGGGAGTTGTGGGAAAGGTGCAAACAAAGGATCTTCTTCAGCAGGCATGTCGTGTCTTGCATCGAGGAGCGGAGGTATTTCATCATCCAAATGTGCACCCCCTACTGAGCCATTTTCTTTGGAATTATCTGAGTCCACTCCAATTTGTGGAGAATTAGGAATGGGAATTTCAACCTCATTGACAAACTTAGAAGAGGGCTCAGGTATTTCATCAGGATGGTCTTCAGCAGAAAATTCATTGAAACGTCCCTCAAAGAAACGAACATGAGACGACCGTACAAGCTGATGGCCAAGAGGTCTTGAGGGGATCCAACAACAACAAATATGGTTCCCTTCAAATCCTACTAAGATGCCTTCTTCAGTGCGTGCATCCATTTTCTGCGACTTTATTTGACGCTCGTTTGGTATGTATACAAGTACACAAAAGCCTAATACTCTGATTCCAGAATTATCAGGTTTATTCTCAGAGGCATTGGATGTTGTAGCCCGAGATTGTGCTTTGTAGGGGGTCATCTTGTCGTAAACAGAGGTCGTGATACAATTGAGAATGTAAATAACGGCGCGGAAAATTTCTGGCCAAAGAAAGAATGGGATACGCATATCTGATATGATACAACTCATTGGATCTAAAACTGTCCTATTTGATCTTTCTTGAGGGCCACCTTGTTCGTGAAAATAGGCCGCCGTAAGCTCGATTGTAATGCCATACTGCTGACACCAGGCAACCATTTTGTCACCCCTAAATTCTTTACCACCATCTAAACCAAAACATTTTGGCAGAAAACCATTTTGAGTTCGGAAGAAACAAATAATAGTGACCAAAGCATCGAAAGCATTTCTCTTTTCTGGGAAAGTGTAGCCATAACGTCCTCCTGTCTTTCCATCAGTGAAGATCATACCAGCTGTATGGCCATTATAACTGACAGGATTGCAAAAGAAGACATCTGCGTAAAATCTATCACCCCACTTCGACTCTCGATTAAGCAGATAGCGGCGTATAACCTTCTTCGGCTTTGAGAATTTGCATGGATCGCACAATGTGGTTACATCGAGATTGGAATCCGTGTTACGAGGTTTATAAGAAAGACCAAGTGTTGCTTTTATTGTTTGCTGGACATTTGGAAAGCTAATGTGTCCTAGACGGCAATGAAGTAGTTCGAGAGTGACAGGGGCTTCATGGATTTCTGCAGGAAAGACATTATCAGCAACTGGAGAGAGAAGGAAGGTTGAGGATCGCATAGACGGATCATTAGTATTAAGAACATGCGGAGAAGAGGCAGTGCGCCAATGTAAACAATTTCGTCCACGAAGAATCTGGCAAACTTCAGAACTGTGCGCTTCATATAGTACCCGATGTTTATCTCATCCATCCCGAAGATCATGAAGCCACCCAGAATAAATGTTAAGTGGGAAGCCAGGAATGTAGAGAACATTTTCAAGAACAATTTCATTGACTGAATCATCTTGCCGGAGAACGCGAAGCTTGATGTAGCCAAGCCCGACAGGCTGAACTGGACTTCCCCCTGTTTTAACAATAGGCAACCCAGATACTGGCCGATAACGGAAGAACGCGTTTATATCATTAGTGATATGAACTGAGGCACCATCATCATGAAGCCAAATATCACGAGAACTTGCAGCCAGGACTGCTGCAGCAAATGCGGAATTAATTCCAGTTCCGGTCGAGCACAGATGATGATCCTCGTTGCGAAAGTTTTATTTATGTTGGTGTAGCTCTATCTGATATTGGGATACTGTAATAGCCTTTTGTTGACTCTTCGCGAAA